GCCTTCCAAGTAGCTGGAACTGCAGGTGTGCGATGCCACACCCGGCTAATTTTTTGATTTTTATTGTAGAGATGCGGTCTCGCCAAGTTGCCCAGATGGGTCTCGAACCCACGGGCTCAGGCAATCCACTCACCTCAGCCTCCCAAAGCGCGGGATTACAGGTTGAGCCACCGAGCCCAGCTAAAAAAATATTCTTTAAAAAAATTTTGCCATTTTATCTGCTAGATATAAGTACCATCTTCCTTCATAAAGCTCCACACATACTGAGAAGCAGAAAACATCTAATAACGTGCTTGTTCTTTTAAAGACTCATGCTCAAAGTAGAAAGGATTAATATTCTAGATGAAACAGAAAGGGCTCAAAAGCTAAGGCACTTGTCTTGGAGATAACAATAGACAAGAAACAGAAGTGAAATCAGCTAGTCCCCAAGTCTCCTTATACACCATTTCTTCACTTCTTTGATGATCACTATGCTCACAAGGACTCCAAGGCATCGCAATAACCTCTGACTCAAAAAAGTATCAAACAAGGTTTCAAAGATTTGTAATTCTTTGAGAATGGGTAAGTCATACGCAGAGAATGTTCAACATGTGTGATTGTATATGTGTACACTTACAATAAAATTTCATAGAAAAGGTCCCTAATCAGTATTTAAAGACAGGCACAGTGGCTCACACCTGTAATCACAGCACTTTGGAAGGCAGAGGCGCGTATTGCCTGAGCCCATGTCTGAGAACAGCCTAGGTAACATGGTGAGACCTCACCTCTATAATAAATCAAAAAATTAACTGAGTATGGTGGCACACGCCTGCAGTTCTAGCTCCTTGGAAAGCTGAGGCGGAAGGATTACCTGAGCCCAGCAGGTCAAGGCTGCAGTGGCTGTGAGCAGTGTGCCACTGCACCCCAGCCTGGGCGACAGAGTGAGACTCTGACTCAAAAAAAACCAAAAAACAAAAAAAGAAAATCCCCAGTGTTTAGCCTCATCTTCCTAATTCACAAATTCTTTTTGTAGTCTCTCTAACAAATGACCTCCCAGATTCTTCTTGTACATTTTCTCTGACAGGAAGCTCACTACAGGGTCATTCCACTGATGAACAGGTATACTGGCCAGAACATTTTTTCTTATGTGAGGCTGATTCCACCTAGCCCAGTCCTTCCCCAAGACAATTCAAAGTAAGTCTCCAGCCACTGTTTCTCATTACTCTTCCCTTTTCCAGTAAAAAGGTCCACAATTTCTTTAGTTATTTCTAGGCCACCCCTTTCCTTTTCATCGGGCTGCCCTCTTCCAGATACCTTCTTCTATCACCTGATTTATCAGGAACTAAACATAACAAATCAGATACCATCAGACCAGCAGAGTCGTATCACCAATTTAAATTACACCAGTTAACTTTTATAGATTACCAGTGTGTGTAGGCAAGGTATAAAGCACTTTGGACTATCTCATGCAAGTCTCGCATGTAATCCCAAAAGTTAGGTGCCACTGATAACCACATTTTACAGTTGAGAAAACTAAGGCAATGTCATATAACACCTAATTCACACCCTGCTCTCTCCCTCAGGGCCTAAATCACTTGTCACTACACTCTACGTCTCCCTCTCTTCACATCCTCCAGTTTAACCCAAGATTACAACTCTGAGCAATCAAGTGATCTTACTGGGTTACATGAGTCTAGTGTTCAGCTGAAAGTAAAATTTCTTCACATGTTGTGATGGATCCCAAGCTTGATCTTAACAAATGGGTAGGGAGCCAGGCTCGGTGGCTCAGCCTGTAATCCCACGCCTTTGGGAGGCTAAGGTGAGTGGATTGCCTGAGCCCGCGGGTTCGAGACCCACCTGGGCTACTTGGCAAGACCTCATCTCTACATAAATCAAAAATGAGCTGGGCGTGGTAGCACACACCTGTAGTTCCAGCTACTCGGAAGGCTGAGGTGGAAGGATCGCTGGAGCCCAGCGGGTCGAGGCTGCGGTGGCCAGGAGCAGCCACTGCACT